AAAATCACATCCATTGGGCCAATTGCAACGCAGGAGCGTTCGATATACTCAATGGTGCAACAGGTCGATTTAATCTGACCTTCACGGCCCCTTTTCTCACTTGGCTATATTTAGTAATATCTCGACTTCAGCACCACTTGGCAGCACGATTTTGCAATCTTCATGAGTATGCGATTGATTTCGTATACCTCCATACCAAGTTCCAGAACTCTACCATGAACACTTCCAAAGATAGGCAGTATGAAAAATTCGGTTTGGATGGAAGATGGCACGCCCCTTTTCCAATAGTTCCAATTTTTCTCCAAGAGTATGCGATTTATTTCGTACATCTCCATACAAAATTCTAGAACTCTACCAAAAAATTTCCAGAAATAAGCAGTATGAAAAATTCGGTTTGTATAGGAGATGTCACACCCATTTTTACAATAGCTAAAATTTTTCTCCAATGGTATGCGATTGATTTCGTATATCTTCATACCAATTTCCAAAACTCTACCATGCACACTTTCAGAGATATGTAGCATGAGAAATTCGGTTTGTATGGGAAGTGCCACGCCCCCTTNTACCAATTTCCAAAACTCTACCATGCACACTTTCAGAGATATGTAGCATGAGAAATTCGGTTTGTATGGGAAGTGTCACGCCCCCTTTACATATAGATTATTTTCAAGCCTAAAACCATCCTTGGGTCACGTGCGGCAGGTGGCAGTTTCAAAAAAATCGGTTCAGCCGCTCTCGAGCCTTGCGAAAACTAACAAACGGCTTTCTAAATATATATTAGTTGAGATATATTATATATTTTAATTATATTTTGACAGTATCCGTTGTTTCTGATTGGCGCAAAAAAATCTTACCTAGTGACGAATTCGCCCCTTGATATGGTCGTTACTTAAAGCTATTTATATTCGAAATTGCATGAAAATTGGAAAACAGGAATCTATAAGATTATCCAGGCAAAAAGCTACCTACGTACCGACTTTTAAGCAAATCGGACCATAAATACGATTTCTTCGAACAGATCGGTCCCTGGTCCACTTCTCGGACAAAATGGATCACATATGTTAATATATGATAAAAAGCTATGTACGTACCGAATTTTAAGCAAATCGGACCGTAAATGCGATTTTTTCGAATAGATCAGTTACTGATCCACTTCTCGGAAAAAATGGACCATATGTCCTAATATATGATAAAAAAACTACTTACGTACCGAATTTTAAGCAAATCGGACCGTAAAAACGATTTTTTCGAATAGATCAGTCCCTGATCCACTTCTCGGAAAAAATGGACCATATGTCCTAATATATGCTAAAAAACTACTTACGTACTAAATTTTAAGCAAATCGGACTATAATAAGATTTTTTGGAATAGACCGGTCCCTGGTCCACTTACCCGAAATAAAGTAAAATTTTTTTAGCCTAAAACATGGTGGTTACTGAAAGCTATTTGCATACAAAATTTCATGAAAATCGGACCAGCCGTTCGCGAGATTACCTGTTACAAAAAAAAGGGACCTCTCTTTATATAATTAGTATAGATAATGCAAAGATTGTTACATTGGTATTTAATAATATAATTTATTTAACATGAATTAGAAAGCAGCTGCTGACAAATACAACTTACAAATTTTCTTTTGTTTATGAAATTGTTCAAAAACTCGAAAATTTTGGAACAAAGATTTGAGCAGTTGAGCAATGAACGAGTTTCGAGCGAGTATCGAGCTACTCGCATTGCTCGATACCCGGGTATCTAGAGCTCTAGTATGTACATACATATTTTGAATTTTATATTCATGATGTGGGGTTTGAAAAAGATTCATAACAACTTCTTCCAATATATTATAGGTATCTATTATTCGTGCATTATGGACTTCTAATGTTTAAATTTACTAAAGTTATTTGCATGTCAAAAACTTGGTTCCAGCAACCTATCATTTTGAACACAAAATTATAATATACAGCAAAAATTAGTTAGAAATACCATAAAGTCACGTACTAAGCAGGCAAAAAGCAACTCGTCGTTTAAAGTACAAAACCGCATATCAACAAAATGCAAAACCGCGTATCAAGCTAATGCAAAACCGCGTATGGGAGGTTGCATCAATTATTTTATAGAGAGTGAAAACAATCATATTTCAAAATGGTTCTCCATTTTATAAAGCAATCGCATTTCTGGCTAATATATTTCAGGACGAATGGATAAGGAAAAATAGTAATATTTCAATACATTTTTTTGAAATCCTTTGCGTGTACCTACTTCTTTTTCTCAACTAAAATTTTCTAATTTCTATAGTGTATACAACTGGTTTATCTTACATTGGCATAGGACTTTTCTTTTAGGGAAATTCTAATTTAATGCTAAAGAGGAACAATTCAAAAGAATGACACCTTTTTTGGCAATTTTATTTTATATGGCCCTGAGAACAATCAGTTTGTTTTTAACATTTTAGGGCCAGTTTCGAGCAAACGGACGTAAGTACGAAATGCTCTGACAGAAGTGAATCAGTCAAAGAAAAACAGCTAAATATGCATAGGTACATACATATACATATTTTTTAGTTAAAATTTGATAGCCTTATTTCAAAAAAAATAAAGTAGCTTTACAAGAGGTTTATAAATTGAAAAATTTATGAAAACGCCAATTTATAAGCTTTGAATCAGTTTTCGCAAAATCGCCCGGAAAAAACTGTCCGGACGAGAAACCCGCGAACCAAGAAAAAAACACAAAATGGGCACTTTCGGGTAACCGACGTCCGCGGGCGAGCAAAAAAACAAACCTAATCCATAAATATTAGGGATGTTTCGAATGTCATATTTTTCACATTCGCGAATGCGAATGCGAATTTTCGGAATGCTAATGTGCGAATGCGAATGTTAGGAAAAACAATAAAAGCTATAATCGACTTAAGCCATCGTTTTTATTACTTAAAAATTTTGTAAATTATTAGAACATTGAACGAGTGCTTACCCTAACAGTGTTTTAATCTAGTAGTCAAAGTTCAAAAAGGGCATATCATATTTCAAAAAAACTAATTTTGCTGCCTTTTCTCCCATGAGGCAATTTCTTATATAAGGCCGGCTACACTGAACAATTGCTCACTTGGACAGGGCTGCCAACTATCTTTAGCTATGATGATGATGAAAAAGTGCCAAAATGTGCCAAATAGAAAAATATAAATGCCAAAAAAGGTGCTATTCTTTTTAATCATTCCCATTTAGCAATAAAATAAGAACCACATTTCCAAAACAAAAGTGCAATGATAAAATAAGATAAACCAGTTGAATAGTCTTTATAATTTAGAAAATTTTAGTTGAGAAAAAGAAGTAACGCAAAGGATTTCAAAAAATGTATTGAAATGTTATTTTTTTTTTGCAAAAGCGCCATTTGGGCACTTTGTGCCGAATTGAAAAATTAAATGCCATTTGAAGTAAAATAGGGTAAAAAATGGCACGGTTTGGGCCAAGTTGGCAGCCATGCACTTTGGTCGCTGGCGGGTGGAGCGCTCAAATATTTGCGGGCCAGATTTGTCAATCTGTCGTATTTTAGTTTCGTTTTCCACCAATCGAAAGGATTTTCACCGATATGAGCTCGTTTTTCTTTAAGATAGGCCTTCAATTGAGCTTTAATTTCACATTTTTTAATGTCTCCAGATTCTTCATCCCAGCCTTTGCTTTCTCTGGAGGAATCTAAAATTATTTCTAGGTTGCTTATAAGACTTTTAGCAGTACTTGTTGAAGGCCCATCAATTTGCTTGATATACTACTTAACCGTTTATTGCCTGAAGCTAAAATCCGCTTGTTGTCCCCACCCTGATTAGACAGACTTACAGCCATTTCAACAATATCACAGTGGACTCTCTGTCCATGTACACATTCGCATTCGCAAAACATTCGTATCATTTGATGCGAATGTGTACAATAATGCGAATCATTCGCATAACCAATACGAATGCAAATATTCGCAACATCCCTGATACATATGCATTAGCTGACGACTCGCCCACAAGCGCTACGCGCAAACGTACCGCCGCACATACGAATCATTCGCGAGGTGAGCGTTGTGCGATCGGCATTCATACGTTTGAACAAACAACGCGCATAATTTATATAAACGCTGTGCGGTAAGCATATATGTACATATATACATACGACAAGCACTGCCAACAATATAAATTACGTGCGTCAATTCTTGTAATAGTTATCGTTGTAAAAAAAATTATACATATAACATTAGTGAAATATGTGGCACATGCTTCCTGTCTCGGCGAAAACCCAAAATTACCAGCGCCTATAGTGAAATGAGAGATTCTAAAAAAACCATTAAATGGGAAACTCTTACGCAGTAGATGTGTGAAATGATTAAGTGATATGATAAAGTATTGTGGGCCGTTTTCTCATCTAACCTTTAGATTATCGGCCACTTTATCGTCTCGATATACGAGTTTTCGTTTTCTCATCAGCGCATTAATTTCTCGAATCGATAAATTGTTGCTCACCCGATGCAACCTTTAAAATTTGTACCCAACTTTAAATTTTGGTTTGGTGTTGGTTCATGAGTCAGATATATTCGATATTTCAACCAAGGTTTTGGTAGTAGTGAGGTAGTGAGGTTTCACTCTACGGAATAATAAATTTATTTTTACCGGTAAAATAAGAAAACGAAAACACTCTAAAGTGAGGTACAATTTATCTGCCCTATTAGTAAAGCCACCTTTACTGCTTACATTAGAAAACGGCCCTGTGAAGTACAAGAAAACGAAATGTTTCGAAGAGGTATCTGAGCTGCACTGATGTGTAAGGGTAAGGCGGATGTCCAATAGAGCACCTTAATTGAAAAAGATCAATCATTTTTAAAAATTTATATATAGTAGGAGATCCGACAAAGGCACGACTTTCATCTATCTGTTTAATGGATGAAATCTCCTTTGTATGAAATTTAACGTGTTAGGAAATATTTCGCTAGTAGGTTGGCTGAAAAAATACTGTCCAGGATATTTTTAATTAAACATGCAAAATTATTATTATTTTTTAATTTTGCACTCATTTATTTAATGAACAAATTACATATATTATTATTAATATATTATTTATTCATTTTCTTACAAATAAATTAACAGAATTACTTAACATTACCACCAATCGAAAGCATAAAGCTTATAGAATGTGTTAAACAGATGAGTAAAAATTACTAATATTACCTTCCTGTTCATACCTGCCAACCCGATAGGTAGGCCAGGAAAAAAAATAGGCAACCCAACGTTTACACATTCTATTTGTTTAATACTTTCGATTGGTATATAATCTGTTTAATTATAATCAAAAGATTTGGGGTGTTCACAGTTCGTTCCAAATTGTGTCTGAAAATGTAGACATCTACATTTTGAGACATTTTTAGCATCAAACTGTGAGCACCCCTTTCTAGCAGTCGTCGCAAAATCGTTCAAAACTTTGCTGGTGTTGCCAGACATTTCTTCCTTGCGTGCATTTTTTATATGTCGCCTTTCGATTATGTTTCTGAAAAATTGTAATTATTTAACTTAATTACCAATTTGTAATATTTGTTATTTCTTTTCCTTAATTTGTTTCTTTTCATCAGAAATTGCGCTCAAATTAAATGCAAATACAGAAAACGTGCCCAATAAATAAAAAAAAATGTGATTAGTATTGCCATAATGCAACTCTGCTGCGAGGTTGCAAAATGTAGACGCGTAAAAAACATACCTTTGAGTGTGACAAAATGTAGACGGCGTCGTTTTCCAATTTTGTATGGGAAACAACAACACCACAGATTTTACGGTTAGAAAACGTCTTAAAA